GCTCCTTCTCAGAAACTCCGCCGCGGACCGGGAGTTTGGTGCAGAAGGAGGGAAGATGCGCGTCCGAGAGCCGCTTCGCCTGACACAGTGACAAGGCGTCGCGTCTGGAATCGGGTTTATTCTCTTGCCATTTTACACGCGCCGTAAGAAATTAAACACACCGTAAAGGGAGCGCTGCACCTAGGAAAGTAACCTTGCATTGCCACCATTCCGCAGCCCTTCCAGCCCATCGCGTTTCTTCTTGCCCGTCTCTTACAGCGCAAACGACAGGAGTAGCAGGAATTAAAATCTGGCTAGCATTCCCATATTCTCATTTAAATTCTCATTTAATTCAGTACTGTTCCAGCGAGCGTCATCGTGGTTTTCCTAAAAGTGTTCTTCAGCGAGCATTCTTACGATGAAAAAAATAGATCGTTATCGTCAGGCTCATCAGCTTCAGACTCGGCGTCCAAAATAATTGCCACTTCCGAAAATTTTACTCCTTTCAGTTCTTTGTCAGGGGCAGGCGTTGTGGGACCAGGTGTTAAGGACAGAGCTGACTTGTGATTTGTATCTGTCAGAACGCAATCCTGCAAGAGAACACAACGCACATGAGGCAGAAGGCCGCAAATGGTAGAGTCTGGACAAATTCTAAGCAGTGGAAGTCGTGTAACTTTTTTATATATATATTCTGTCTCTGAAGCTTGCAAAGAAAGCATTGTTTTTAAGGCTGTAAGTTTTAGGAGCAGCACAAGAGAACCCTTTACTGCACACATTCTGTAAAAGATGGAAGAGAGTCATCATTTCTGGATCACAAAGTCCTTCTCTTCCTTCTAAGCAGCGACAAACAGCCCCTGCTCAAAGATTTTTACTTGACGTAACTTGTTTTTTTTTTTTTAAGTTGCATCACAGCTTTACTCTTTTTGAGAATTCTTTCAGTTATTTGATGAATAATGATAAAATCTCTTTCACTCCATTCTTTGCAGCTGAAAAGCTAATTACCTGTTTTGTTGTGAATTCTGCAGTGGGCTGGGCATCTGCATTTCTATATTCGGCGGCTTTTTCAGATGCTCCATTTTCTTTGTGTTCGCCGTTGTAATCTAACAGTAGTGTCTCAAGGTAATTGCATTTTTCATCAGCCTGAATTACGTCTTTGTCAGCATCACCTCCTTTGATGTCTTCCATGTTGCTAAACGCTATTATTTCAGTTTTCCTGAAAGAGATTTAAGAGAATTTGTAACACCTTGAGCTTGCACGTTGTTAAGTGACAAAAATCTTAGCCTCTCTAAAACTGACAGCAGCATGTACACCGATCTCAAAATGACTGTGATTTTACCTGGGGAAACGTTAAGTAGCTTCTTGTATCCTGAAGGTTTTTTTCTGCACAAGGCTTAACAATTTGCTAAAGAGTAAGTAGGAATTGTAATTTTCAATACAAGATTAAAAGATACTAGCTTCCTTCAGGTGTAGAGTTTTTAAACTTACAGTTGTAAGGGTTCTTAAAAAACGATCTATGCACTAGTGGAACATACAAGGAAAATCCTCTGTTACCAGAATACACTAGAACCGCGTCTTTTGATATGCTATTTTTTATAAATTTGTGATATCAGCATTCTACTTACACATTATTTGTGTGCTCTAGTTTCTTCAAGCTTTTCAGACTTCCATTTGTGTCAGTGGCACAGGGATTATCAATACCCTCCGTAATTTCAGCTTGCTTCTTAACCAAATAGTGTTGCTTATGCTTTCTGAAAATAATAAATACATTAAAATAAAATTGTTAATTCTTTTTGAAGATTGGCTTTACAAACAGAACATGAAGTATTTGTGTCATAAGTTTAACGCACAACATTTATCGTCAGTATTGTTCTGAGGATTATTTTGGATTATTTCCTCTTTTTCCGCACCGTTGTTAGATTACCTGTTTACTGGTAACACAGTAAATAGCCACTGCCCTCTTGGAAACATATTTGTTTTCCTCAACTATACGGTCCTGCTGCCACTGAAGTTAGCAGCAAAACGTCCCTTGATTTCAGCATTCGTGGGGGTTAGAGGAGACTTATGTGGTACATCACAGGTGCATTACAGCTATTTGTGCCCCCCTTCACAGTTCAAACTTCTGCTATCCACATTTCTCTGTTTTAAAAGTATTTGTTACCGCTGTTGCTGTGTGCCAAACACAAGAAGAAACCAACTGGCAGTTACGTGCGCTGTGTCTAATGTCCACTGTACAACACCAGGCATTTTGATTTATAGCAAATCTGAGCCAATACTCCATGCAAATATCAGTAATTCATCAGATAAAGATTTTTTCAAGTTGACATTTAAAGTAAACTTATTAGTTGCAAGTCTAAGTTACATTGTTAAAGTAAAACTATTTGTACCTTTTCCTTCTTAAAGTAAAGAGTGCATATACGAGGATGGCTATGAGGGTGCAGGCTAGCAGAACGCTGAGCACGATCGTGGCAATGAGTTCAGGAGTTGCTGAGTCTGCCGGAACCTCTTCTATGGCAGCAGTAACAGACGTTGAAAATATTTTCTCCAGTTCTATCTCAATGTTGCTCTTCTGCTCCCTAAGTTTTCTGATGATAGAAGAGTAAAATGCTGATGATTTATCAGACCTTCATTTTGGCTTGAAGAGTAGTGAAGAAAATAACAGGATACCACTCCCCGGCCCACCAAGACCTTCTTTTGTGAAGATTCAGACTTGTCTTGTCTTTGATTCGTGAAAAAACTCTCTTTTCTAACAACGGGCCCTGGTGCTTATGAACTAAAATGCTGCAAAGTTTAGAGAGAGGTCAGTATCCTCTAAAAGCACGTCGAGGCAGCCGCATCTACTCTTACGGATACCAATAGCGCTTTCCTCAGAGAAGAAGGTTCCTCCACGGAGACTGCGTCCTATGACCAGACTCCATTAGTAATATCAGCCACAAACAATTACTAGTTTAAGAGAGGTGGCAAGTCTAGGAAGCGCGTGTTTAAATAGTAGCTGCCCTTCATAGAATGTTTATAAGAATATGCATTCATACCACCGTCATGTTATGAAACAAACATAAAATACACATACAATGTAAGTTTTTAATCAACATTCTGCAATTCTGAAGTCAATATCTATTTTAATGATATTCTTCCTGCTTCAGTTTTCTTTAAAACCGACTTTTAAATATATTTTGCACAATTAAACAGCCTTATTCGTGTTTTTGACAAACACTAAAAATTACCTTTCAATAAATCATGAAAGCTTTCTGAATTCTACAAATTCCATTTAAGCCTTGAGATAAGTCTCAGATAAACTGTTATTTGATCTAAACCTGCCCAGTCCAAGACATTAATACTTTTAAGGGAAACAAAACCTAGCTGCATAGCTCTGACACCCAGAAGACAGACAGTGCCATACAGACCTTTTTACATCTTCTGCAGATACTTCCCGGTTTGCCTCATCAAAAGCAATAATTTTTACATAGGTTACATCAGTGCTGCTTCTTGCTTTTCTTTCAAACTCATTGGAAAAAATGTCAACAATGTACACATTCCAGGCGAGTTTATTTTCCAGGACCCTGCCATCAGATTAAGAAAACATTTTAAATTATCTGGGCAATGACAAATTCTTTTACTCTGTAAATTAAATGATAGAAAAGTAGTATTTAATACACCACTTTGCAGATATTTAGTATTTTAATCTAAGCATGTAAAAATGCAGGATTATCATTAGCAAAGGAATTAAGCTATATATATATATATCTCGTTGGGTGATTGAGTAGCAGAGGGAAAAAAAAAAAATCCAGTCCTTGTCTCTGACTGGTAAGCAAAGATACTTTTCAGTAGTAGGTGCTACGTAACTTTTGTACATAGCCTGCAAATTCTTAGATAGGTGCCATTAGCATAGCTGAACAATTAATCAGAGAAAGGAAGGGTTAACAAACCCTTATACCTAGATTTCATAACTAATATTGCATAGTATATCATACAGTCATGCTTTTCAAAGTGACATATGTCTCATTTCATGCTTGATGTTATTTTTTATAAATACAGGCAGCGATACCTATAGAGTATTATAAACAGTAAAGGTGGGGAGGAGGGAAATTCAGTCTCATAATCCTCATTGTTTTCTCCTCCTTTTTCACAGAGAGATTTTCACGCCGGATCAGACCATTGGCCCAGTTAATCCATCATTCTGACAGCAGTCAGTATCAGCTGCTTCCAAGAAAGTGGCAGAGCAGCTCTAGGGTTTCCATTTAATTTTTACCAACAAGAAACTGGTGCCATGATAGCGTCAACGTCACAGACTCATTTTTCCATCCTCCAAAGCGATTTCCCCTCAAAAGCATAGGACTCAATATTTCCAATGTAAATATATGTTTATGTATAAGCAAACAAAAGATCTTGTGTCTTCATTAACATGTCAAAAAGGCCAACATGTTTTTAATTGTAGCGTGGCCATCCACACTAGCTAATCCCCTAGTGTCATAGGGCTAAGACCTCCTCGAGAAGCTCTGCTGCTGCGCTACAAGCGGGGGGTTTAATTTGTAGCAAAGGTGGGTTTGGTTTGTGGCTTCTATCCTGCCTGTGTCCACATTTGTATCTTGAGCCTACTATCCATGAAAATTTCTATCCTAGGCTGTTAAAAATCACAGAAACACTGAGGTGGGAAGAGACCTCTCAAAATCGTCTAGTCCAGTGACCTCTTTGACATTTGTCAGCTCAGGCCAAAGCCTTACCAGGTAAAAACTGGTGGATTCCTGTGAATTCCCTCCAATTATTCTGAACTACATCAAGCTGAAGGCCTAGCTTTTCACGGGCACTGGCTGTATCACCTCCCCTGCAGGCTGTCAGACCCCTATCTCAAAGGGACTCTAAATTTGTCATTAGATATTATATCAGAATAAGCTTCACAGTTTCAAAAATACCTTTTTACTTCAGCAACGTTTCTTTCAACAACATTGATCTTCTGATTAAGTACCACCACCACGATGTTGTTACTGGAACTGGAATCAACGGTTACCTAATAAATAAATCAATCACATGTAAAGTTTTCTAAAGCATTTGTACCTCTCGTAGACTGACTTGCAAAACAAAAACCTAAACCTCAAACCAACCCAAAACCTCTGATACAAAATAATTGTCCTCTAAAAGTCAGTCTTCATGCCAACTTATTTTTATATGTCAACGGAAAGGGCAACCTCGTAATTCTGGCCTGAAAGTATGTAGTAAATATTGGTGTATCTGACAGCCTCACTGTATGCTATTAAGTAATTTTTTTGTCATTACCAAACATAGCCCTTCCTATAGACAGAATTTTGACATGGAAACAAATCAGGACTCTAAATAGCAATCTTCCTTACGCTGACTGTTGTCCGGGCTGTGAGTCTTCTTGTGCCTTGGTCTGCAGCTTGGACTTCCAGATAAAATGTTCCATCCTTTCCTGCTACAGAAACTGTAAAAATCTGCCCTGTGTTTTCATCGATGTCAAATTCCTTCGTTTGATTATTCACTAGGCTGTACAGCAGAAGTCCGTTGTCTCCTGAATCTGGATCTGTGGCCTGGGTTTAAAAAAAGGTGATTTGTGAAACTCAGCCTGTAGCTTCTGGGCTGCACATTGCTCTTCAATCATAAAACTCTGCAGTTTCTAGTTGTAAGATTGGAGTATTCTAGGATAGCGCTGTCGTATGTTTCTCTTTGCAATAAAGTGGGGCACAAACTATCAGAATCAGACCAAGGGTATAAAAGGGGAAATACATTTACCATAAGGTCTGGAGGATTCTACAGCTGCAAGTGTAAAAGGAGCAGGCTAGAACTGGGGGATAACACCAGACTTAGAAAAAGATGAGAATTGCTCCATTTTGTAATTCATTTCCCATTTGGGTGTGATGGATAACAAAGCGGTTAACAGTGCCAAAGAGAGAACAGTAGTCTGTGCAGTATGTAATCCATAACAACAGCATGAGTCAGAACAGACTGTCGCTCTTCTGACAGACCCACTGGTAGCACAGGTATGGACCAGTTCCCTAAACACCCCACATCCTTCACCAGCGTTATGTTAAACCTGGACAATGGGCAGAATCTGTCGCAAGTTTCCTGTCCTGGTTTCGGCTGGGATAGAGTTAATTTTCTTCCTAGTAGCTGTCGTAGTGCTGTGGTTTGGATTTAGTAGGAGAAGAATGTTGATAACACCCTGATGGTTTAGTTGTTGCTCAGCACTGCTTATGCTAGTCAAGGACTTTTCAGCTTCCCATGCTCTGCCAGGTGCACAAGAAGCTGGGAGGGGGCACAGCCAGAATAGTTGATCCAAACTGACCAAAAGGCTATTCCATACCATATGGCGTCATGGGCAGTATAGAAACTGGGGGGGGTTGGCCGGGGAGCAGCAATCGCTGCTCGGGAACTGGCTGGGTATCGGTCGGCGGGTGGAGAGCAATTGCATTGTGCATCACTTTGTATATTATTGTTGTTGTTATCGTTATTATATTGTTATTATTATCATTACTATTTTACTTTATTTCAATTACTAAACTGTTCTTATCTCAGCCCAGGAGTGTTTCTCACTCTTACTCCTCCGATTCTCTCCCCCATCCCATCGGGGTAGGGGGAGTGAGCGAGCAGCTGCGTGGTGCTTAGTTGCTGGCTGGGCTAAACCACGACACTTCCAAGAGCAGATTTTATTAAATAAGCTCCTTTAACCCAGTTTAACTTTGAAAAAAATCCGAATCTTTCAAAAGATTTCTGTCCTCATGAAGAACGCGGAAAGATACTCTACCTGGACTCTAATAACCGGGTACTTGTACGGCACAGAGTTCGGTATCCGAGCAGAGTAGGCGTTACTCAAAAATGCTGGCTCTTCATTTACATCCTGCACTGAGATTGTCAGCATTGCCACATTTTGAGCAAACAGACCTAGTAAACAAACACAGGTTAACTGCAACAACAAACCCCAGGAAAGCACAACGTTCAAAGGCCGGGTCAGGCTGCGGCTTTGCAGCAGTATCTCTGCTGCCTGTGGGGAAGAGGGAGAAGAAAGGGAACGCAGCAGGGATGTGCCCAGAGGAGCTCTGTCTCGCTCCTCCCGGGGCTTCGGTGAGAGCAGAGGCAGTTCAAGGCAAAAGGCGACAGCACTGCTCCTCTGTCAGCCCTCTCCAGCTGGCTGTGCTGTACCAGGCAAGGGACCGGCAGGTTCCTCCAGCTCCTGCTGAGTCGTCCAATGCCCAGCTATTATATTCTTTTCTGAGACCATGGCAGAGCCCTGTGAGGGTTTGCACCCATCGGGAAGGCTGCTGCTTTTCTCTGCACAACCTTTACCTTCAGCTTTTCATCTTTCACATCAGACTTTTCAGTTAAAGAGGATCACCATTCCTCTATTGGGCTGCAAATACAGCAGACGTGTTCATTGCCCCTGATTTAAGTTGGAATGTCCTTCAAATCAAAAAGTTACCTGAACGCTGGACTTCCGCGACAGATGAGAGATTTTCATTTGCTTCAACTAAAATCACATACTGAGAAACTTCCTCATAGTTCAAATTAATTGCTGTTCTCAGCTGACCACTTTTCGGATCCAATCTAAAATGACCTGAAAGGAAAAATGTGCACCTTCGTTGTTACAGTTACCACTTCACTTGTATCCCTCCTACCTCTTGTGTCTCAGTTGCTCTTAGGATATTTCCATGGGCCCTCTGCTCTTAAGAATGTGAAATGCAACGCTTTCACTGGCTGAGCAGCGAAGGCATCACAGCCGGGGTCCCATCCCAGACCAAACAGGCCCTAAACATGTAAAGGAGCAACATACTTGGACAATAGCATTGCAGCCTCTTGTCGCACAACTCCTTTTTCACTGATTTCCAAGTTTTCTATCAGTTCCTAATTATTTCCTTTTTTTGTGTGCAAATGGAGTCGCTTCACAGCTGCAAAAGCTGAAGGAGGCCAGGTGTCCTAATGTAGGTGCAAGTGCAAGGGAATGACAGACTAAAAGTGATCGGCAGGGAGGAAGCTGCTTGCTAACAACTTCTATTTTGGCTCCCTCCGCCTGCAAATTATCCTAACTTACGACTATGGGAACCCCTTTTCTGGCAAGTTACCACCGCCTCTTTAGTCAAAGAAGATTGAAGAGCTCTGAAAGAAATTCTTTGTGTACTTTTGTTTTTTAAAAAAATGACACCAGTCTTAATCCTTGCTCTTCATCTCGTCATTTACATACAGCAATATCTGCCACACAAAGGCCAGGTTATTCTGTTCTCTTAGCTATTTTAACTCATAAGGGAAATAGTACTCACCTTTTTCATTGCCAGATATGACTGTATAATCAATCAGTTTTCCTAAAGTTTCGACCACAGTAAAAGTGTAAATTAAATAATCCACTCCTGTGTTTTCCAAAACGGAAGTGCTAATATAGAAAATAAATAGTAAATCATAATGTTAATTTCCCAGTAGTTGTTGCACTGGCAGGCTTTGAAATTTAACCCTTTAAGAGCAAGTTGTCTGTGGAAAATCCTGCCCCCTCCCCTCTTAGTGGTTTGCTAGAGCTCACTGACAATCAGAATGCAGTGCAAGCCCTACTTTTCTAGCCAAACATTTGTTTATCCTTGAGTAAAGGCTACGGAAGGGTGTTTTATTTGTATGCAAGAGGAAAGGGAAAAAGAGTCTGGCTTATACAAGCTGCACTATAGAGAAATGAAAGGCGATGCCTCGCATCACGTTCACAGAACCACTGGCATAGCAGAATTTCCTGGACATTTTGTTTAAAAAACCCTGACGTCCTGTCTTCTGCATGGAAGAATATGAAAATTAGCTTCAACTTCCAACTTAACTATGTTTTCTGCTACCTGGAGAATACGTACCAGTTATATAACTTAATATGAAAGGCTCACCTCATTTCGCTCTCGTTAAACTGTGGAACAAATGGACGGTTGTCAAACACATTAAGAGTAATCACAGCAGTGTCATTTAAAGATGGAGAGCCTTTGTCCTTAGCCATCACTGTTAAATGGATCTCTCCAGATCTAGACAGGTTTCCTGTTGTAATTATTTTCCCCTCACTTGTATCTTCTATCAGGAAGAATGGGCTGAATTCTTGATCAGGGAGGATGTAGTATTCAATAAGGCCATTTTGTCCCTGCCACGAAAGGAACACAACTTCATGTAACTATTGCTTGCAGGACCACATTATTTCAGTGCCCCAAGTCCCATAGTACGGACTCACTGGAATCTCAATATTTCCATCCTTAATTGGACAGAATGCCAGAGGCATTGTAAATAACTAGAGAGAACCAGGCTCAGAGCTACTTTGTCCTTAAGCTGTAACACAAGAGCAGCAGCAGTGGAAAGAGCCAGTGGGCATAGCCCTCCACTCCCCCAAATTAATTTTGATGTTCCAAGAGCCAAAAAAATTCCCACAGCAATACTAAAGAAAACTACATGCGCTGGGAGTACATTTTGAAGGGTAGGATAAACACTGAAACGAGACTTGACCATGTCTAAATGTCTCTGGTGAATTTACTTAGAGAATGAAAACTTGGGGTTACCTATGGTAGGATGGGTGCCGATAAAAACACAAAGCTGAACAAAATTCACAAGGAGTTGGCCAGTTACACAGCAAAAAATGTGAAAAAGGGTCTCTAAAGAAAGGAAGGACACACGTAGAGGAGGACAGTCAGAGTAGTGAAAGAAAGTCATCTACTGAAGGTGTGATGTCAACGAGAATAAGCCAAAGTCCCTTGGATCCTTTTCACACCCTGAGGAGAAGCACAGCCTCCCCGCTGCTATGAGGGTAAGCCCTACTCCTGCCTGCCACAGGAGAGTTGGACACGTTTTACTCTATGCACATCACTTTCCTGAGACAAGCCATTCTGACAAACCCTTAGGGTTTGCTCTATCGCACTTTGCTCTGTATTTCTGAAAAGCATTGTATTCTGTTCTTCCACGGCTCTGCAGCAGCAGGATCAAATCCTACTGTGAAAATCTGTTGTCGCTAAGTGATCTGTGGATTTATAATTATTTCAGGAACAGGGAGGAACAGAGACAAAGTCTAATAATTTCAGTACTGGACTCTGCCCCAGAACCCTGAAAGGGTGACACAGGGAGGATGGGTGCCACTTTGCATGGCAGAGGACCAGACATATTATCTGAAGGGTGAGTTTTATTCTCAGAGTCCAGCAACTTTCATAAGCAGTTTCACTTTTTATATAAAATCATTGAGAAGGATGATGAAAAAAGGGGCCGTTAGATTATTTACAGCGATATACCACAGCTGCAGCTATTTGAACCAAAATTATGCGTGAAGAAATAGGAAGGCACCTGCTACACCTATTTTGTTGTCACTTCTAGATCTTTCCTCTTTTAAATGATATAATTAGTAGTGATGCTGACATGGTAATCTGGTTGACTACTGGATATCTCTGCCAGCGCCTGGATACAACTTGATGGGTGCAGTACAGATATATCAAACAAAATTACTTAAAAAATGGGGACAGAGAGAATTAGCTGGGGTACCAGAGGCATTTGGTAAGCAGACATTTCCATGTTCAAGCCGGCTATATGATGTTTAGCTTTTACAGATTCTTCTACTTCACAGACAATAAATGGCTTCAGTCCTTGTATACTTCTGAAAGACCGGTACAACTCCATATAATAAGGGGAAAAATTAAGGCACATGCCCAAAGATAGGGAGAACATCAGTATCCAGGCAGAAACATCAAAAAGTCCTAATTTCCAAATCCCAGTGCTTTGTCAATCACAATTCACTTTCTGCTACATTTGGTATTTCATGCCTAAAGAACTGAGAAAAATATATTTGGGCTGCAGCTTAAAGCAGTGTCAAAATCAAACAGGAGTAGTTACCTGATCCTTGTCGGTAGCGCTCACAGTTATGACATGAGCACCTACAGGATTAATCATGTTGACAGAAGCGGAATAGGAATTCTGAGCAAATACTGGAGCGTTATCATTCACATCAATCACTAGAACAGTGACATGAGTAGTTGCCTAGAAAACAAAATGGTTTCATGCATTTTAGAATATTTAGAATGTCTTATTTAGTGATTATTTTTTTGTTATTTGCATATGCAACAAAAAGTATAAATTAGACTTTGAAAATGCTGTAGTAAAATATTGTGTTAGGTTTAATTTTCTGAACTCAACATCAGAGATCACTACAGGATTTCAGTACAAGAGAGGCAGGAATTCAATGCTGCGGTAGGATTCTGCTTCTTGAAAGGTGTCTGAATGAGTAAGAACAGGATGCATTTAGGAAGCCAACATGTCCTACTGCTGCTGCTAGGTGCAGTTAAGGCAACCATAGATGTTCTAGTTCTGTTAAATAAGTGTGTAATATCTTTTCAAATAAAAGAAATACTGCAGAACTAGAACAATTTGCTGAAAATCACTTTTTCTCCCATGAAAAATTATCACAGCACTTACAGCACTAACAGTAGCAGGCAAGAATTCCAGTTCCCCAGCACAGGTTAGTCTGCAAACAAGTTGGGGTCAAATTCTACCATGCATGATTATGAAGTATTTCAACTAATTAAGGAGTATAATGCTACGCAGCACGGACAAAGGTCGCAAAAGTCTGGCCCTAAACATGATTAGGTGACTAATTTATTCCGCACAATAAATGTCTTTGATAGAACTCCCTCCCACTAGTTCAAAATCCACTCTGAATAGGAGAGTCACTGTTCAATACAATAATGGTCTTTTACCTGAAGGAAAGGGGCAGATTTATTGTTGACTGCATTCACTGTAAGGCTGTAATTATTCATGGTTTCATAGTCTGGAGAGTTCTTTATCTTAATGTTACCACGTATCTCATCTATTTCAAATATATTTCCTCCATCACCTGCGATACATTTAAAGAAGCATTATCAATGAATACATCTTAGAAGCACATGATTAACTGCACTCTTAAATTATATGTTTACTTGTGTCCTGAGCTCATTAAAACAATTTTTTAAATATCATACAGATAATGTAGAAGAAAAACAGAAAATATTTTGAGTGGGTAAGCATTTGAAATGTGAGCCAACAGAATGGGTTAACAAGTTTTGCAGATACATCTGTCACACTCAAAAAGTAATGGTGCTTGAGGCATGCAAAAGATGATAGACAGCACATTGGAGTTCCAGGATGAATCTCTGGAAGCAGGTTCCCCCAAGCCTGTGCAACTCTTAGAGGAGATTAGAGGAGTTCCCAGGCACTTGCACAGTCCTCTGCCCTTCTGTGTGTTCAGTCTCATGTTTGCTGGTTGTAACAGTCATGAAGCACTAAACAAACAAGACAGTGCTCCTGCCAAGGTCTCTAAGAGGAGATGTCACTGAATTTGTTCTGTCTCTCATGCAGGTGGACTGAGTGGCACACAGATCTAAAGAGAAATCAGTTTGACTGCCAAAAGACCTGGCAGTGACTTTTATTGGTTTTGGCCACCCTTGTCCAAAGCCACCTCAAAGTCTGTATGCATACTGGAAATAAAAGACTCTAAAAACATATAAACTGTATACGCATCACTCTTGATGGTCCATACAACAAAACCAACTATTTCAGTTCCTGCAGGCTTTGGTGCAGAGGGGTTTAAATCTCCATATCTCTCAGATTTAGGGGCAGTGGCAAAAGGGGCACTCTTCCCAACTGTAATGCCATCAGCTACCACAGTTAAATGTGACAGGAAGCACGAATCAGAGCTCTCAGTCGCTGCACTTCACAAGCTGGCACATTATTGTAAAATGAAATTGAAGGCACTTTATATTAATAGCCTGGGCAGAGATTTGAGGTAGCAGAGTAGGTGACCTGCTGTCTGTTGTGGCACTTCTGCTTCAGAGGTAAAGGTGTCCAGCGCAAGAAGATAGCTCTCCAGCAGCCCTCGATAGTGAATCAGGTCCCTGGCACACTTGTGATACCATTTACATCTGCTCCTAGTAGCTGTGAAATGCTCACAGTCCACAAGCTGAGGAGAGGCTTAATTTAGCAGCATTTAATACCTGGCGCAGGCACAACGGGTTCTACAAGGTAGGGATGAATTAGACCCTAGATCCTTATTCCTCATTCAAGAAAGCTATGGGCATTTTTTTCATCAAAATTACTCCTGCTGATTGCAACTACGGCAGTTGAGTAGCTAAAGATTTTTTAAAAAGCTGATTTTTAACAGAATTAAGAGTATGATTAAAAGCACAACAATTTATAGTTTCTGCAAAAGAAGTTCCTACTCAATCAGTCTGAAAGCTCTATGAGCATAAATTAGTAAAATACCAAACCAGGTGGAAGTGAACCTTCTTGGCTTATGTGGAAAGGGGTTAGATAACACACATAATGCTATTTATGCTCATAACAGTATAGACAACAAAGTGACAGTTGTTCCAGTGCAGGGAGAGAATTCCTCGTTACCTGTAAGGCTATATAGAACAAAGGCATTGTCTCCTGTGTCTCTGTCCGTTGCTGTGAGTTTTCCAACTATTAATCCCACAGGCGCATTTTCATTTACCCTGAATTCAGTCACTGGATCAAAGACAGGTGGCCAGTCATTAACATCAGTGATCTTTATGACAACTGTGCAGTAACCTCTTTTCTTCTCAGGGATTCCATCATCTTCAGCATATATCACAACCTGTAAGTTGCACAATTATTGGTAATGAGAAATCATATGAATAGGTACTTGCACAGGGATTAAAAAAAAATCTGGGTGAATTTTAAACTTTGGAGTATTCTTAGAAATGTAAACTCAAATTCTAAGTTCGCCTCAAAATGATATTGAAACTTAAGGACTGTTTGGTCAATAAAAAAGTCTTTCTATATGGAACCAACAAATTCACCAATATTTTTGCTTGAAGCAAAATAAGGTCATAAAAAATACCCAGCAGTGGCAGCAACAATAAAGAAGATTAATCGAGAATCGTATCTGCAAGATCTCAGTCCAGTCCAGATTCAAGCAAACAGACAACACTGAATACATGAGCTGTCATTTTGAACTTAGTTATTCATGTGCTGGCATGTTTGAGAGTTTGTAGGACAGGTGAACAATGAGCCTTGCTTGAATTTCATTATAGCCTAAAGGCAGTGACTTGCTTTAATAACGCATCACATCTTGAGATGCTCATATTCTAAAACAATGCATAAAACGTTCAAGCAATATCAAGCTAAACAAAACCAAAAGTGTCATCTGTTATCCAAGGGAAAGATAAAAGCTCTGAATAATGAAAAGGCTTAAGAAATCTAAAGCAAACCTGATACTCTGTAGGTTCCTCTTCATAATCAAAGGAGGCAGTGGAATAAAGAATTCCAGTTGCTTCATCTATCCTGAATTTTGGTCCGTCTCCACTGAGAATGCCATATGTTAGGAAACCATTTCTACCTGTGTCGCTATCCTGAGCTTTCAGCTGGACGATCTGAGTAGCAGGTAAATTCTGTGGATGAAGAACAGATTGAGGCTGTCAGAGACCTTGGTTAGCTGCAATTTCTTAAATTATGAGAAAGGGGGAAAGTAACAGATACCACATACATTTACAGTAGTATAGACATTTTAAAATCAAAATTATACAACTTGTTCCGCCCAGTAAGAGAATCTCTTGTTTTCTCTAATTTACAGAAAAGAGCTATTTCGCCCCCACGTCTCTACCTACAGCAGCAATCTTCAGGAAGAAAAATCACCATGTTTTCAAACAGGCCAAATGTTAACTTCAAGCATCTGACTTGCTGTTGAGGAATTGTTTTTTCATATTTAATAGCCTCTATTCCTATGAAACTCAATGGATGTTCTCAACTTCAAAATCATGTTTCTTTCTGAACACTATTTGGCTAATAATTACTCTTTTCAAAATAAATAATCTATTTCTTCCTTTTAAAAGAATGTTATTTACAATAAAATTGACAGTAAATATCCGTGTTTCACTTGCACAGCCATTTGAGACCTGATCTAAAGTTATTTGATCCAACACGGCATCCACCAATTCCTACTGTTTAAATATTTCACATGGAAATCAATTTTTAAGGTTGGGAAATGTGACACTAACTCTTCTCCATTAAACTAACTGGGAACATTAAAAATAGCTATGATAATTAAACCTATATTTAGCTCAGTGTTAGAAAAGGACTAGATTTGAAACCGGTTGTGGTTGTTAAAGAGAATGTGTACGAATCAGCTGGTAATCTCAAAGGCAAGGTACACGCTATATAAAATATAAACACAATCAATGTGCTTCTTTTTAAAAAATCTGCTGTAGCTAGCAGATTATAAATGTGAAAAGGGTTGTTTGAAAATTGAAGCAGGAAATGTTGAGCTAGATGCTCTTGCATAATTAAATGCAGTGGTTTCCTTTGCAGCCTATTATAACGTAACAGCCACAGACTGAAATCTGGCTTGTTAGTGTCGGGAAGAATCACAACAGATTGTACAGGTACAAGAGGAGAAATGTTGCTAAATTAGAGACTTTTGCCTGTTACTTCTCTGTGTGAAGTTCCATTACAAAGGCTGAGAGAGTCTACAAGGTTCCTAGAACACCCACTAGATTGTGAATGCACATGAATATTCTCTGTGTACAAATACACAAGATGGAGTGGCTGGTTTTCCTTTGTGGAGCCCCTTATTAGTAAGAAATTCACTTTTCCTTCAATATGCCCACACTTCTAGACCATTCTCTATATGTATTGGGATTTTCAGCTTGAAATAAGCCTTAAAACATCATATGGCAGAACAGAATGGTAAGCCTGTCCAGTTGCAGGATGTTTACTTGTATACTCACCAAAAGCTTTTTTTATCATTATTTTGAGGGTTTATTTTTGTGATTCAGTTTGGATGACATTTTCTTACCTCTTCCAATCTTTTTTCTAGCAGAGAAGATGGAAAAACCGGAGGGAAATCATTTTCATCAATAACTTCCACATTCACAGAAACGTCACTAAATATGCCAGGATTAGATGAATCTGTTGCTTGCACATTGAAAGTGACTGGAAAATCTTCCGGTTTCAAATTCTTTCTTGTTCTTACAACACCAGTGGATGAATTGATAATGAAATACCCTGTTAAAAAAAAAAAAAAAAAAAAACCAAAATAAATTATTCTGTTTATGATTTTATGAGTTAAAACTGAAGATATTAACCCTTTAATGCAACCTATACATTATGCATATGAATATCGTATGTTACAGTATTCTTCAAAGAACAAAATAAAATTCAACATGGATTTACAAGAATGTCAGATGTATCCAGGGCTGTCATTAACAAAAAGAAATAATTCAGAAGGTCAGATGGGAACCAAAGGGGAGAAGCTCACCCCACCACTTTCCAGTCAGAAGTCTTCATCTCCCTCTGAAACGGTTAGAAATTATTTTTCCCTGTTTCAGTCAGAAATTATTCTATTTCCTATGAAGTCCTGTTTTTACTGAAGATGAGGAATTCCACAAATAACTTCAAGGAGACCACAGCTTCATACAAAACATTTTTCAAAAAAGAAATAGTGGCTACGTTCGATGATACAATAAAATCAGCCCTATGTTTAGTAAAAAAAGACATGTGACAAAGCACTGATCCAGTTGTTCCCATGTAAACTTACTCTATACATTCACATTTGTTAAGAAAATGTTGCTGAGTTATTTTTTCTACCAGCAGTCTTTATGCTGAATTAGGTAATCTTTCGCCAGTCACTGTAACTTTATGCCTGATCAGGAACCACCTGATCTTCCTGTAGCAGATGTAAAAAAACCATACAACTGGTGCAGTCAGCTGTGTATCATGTGGCTCTAGCTAACCTGACAGAAATTCAGTCACGTGCCCACACCTGATCCGTATCAGATTTGTACATCTGGTCGATACACATCCAGTATTAAGGGCTGTAGAACTCAGATAAAAGTAAAAGGAGAGAGAGAAGAAACAATCCAAAAGCTAAGCGCTCTGCAGCGGTAGCTGTTTAACACACCCTCTTCCTGTTATTTCACATAAAGAGCTTACCCTTTCCATCTCCAGATACAATACTGTATATCACAGGGACCTTATACAACACACTGATCTGTACAACAAATGTATCGGGCAGCGTCTTCTCACTCAGAGGGGCAGGCTTATAGACTGCTTCAGAGAACACCGGGAATGAAATGTTCATGGGAGCTATCACGATTGACACCTGCAGAAAAAAGGAGATGACTACAGGCGTTATGTTTTCAGGTTTAGCAGACTTTTCTATTCAGGTATGCAACAGCAGAAGTCCAGAACTTTGTCAGTAAGAAAAAGCCTACGATTGCTCCACGCTGAGTTTGACACGTTAGTGCCTTGAAGGCAGCGAAGGTTAGTGAAAAATGCCAGCAACCTCATCAATTTAGGCTCACCTGTATGCTTTCCCAAATATAGAGAGGGATTCCAGTTGATCGCATACAGCACATTTCAAATGACTTGTTGAGCTACACAGCTCTCAGAGAGAGGTACTGATCTGTATTTACAACAAATTCTTCCACTGGAAAATGCATGACCAGAGCAGGAGCTTGTAAAGTACAGTATTTTAAAATTATTATAGCTGACTTTATATATGAAAACTGGTGACAGGTGGTAAATAAATAATGCCTACTGCTTCAGAAAAATAAAGACAATTTATTTCTAAATGATGCCAGACAGCTGCTGTCCAATGCTCTGAAGAATGATGGCTCATAAGTCTACATTTTAAGGTTCTGCTGAATATAATTTTCTACACGTCTTTATCCATACATATTTCTAGTCCTTTTTTTGAATTCTGCTAAGCTGTGATATTTAGTGGCAAAAGATCACTAGCCAGCTATAAGTGTTGTGTAAAAAAATACTTCTTTTATCATATTTAGATTTCTCACTCTTCAATTTAGAATTTATTTTTTCTTGTAATATATGGAAAATAAACAGGAACACCTTATTTGCTGTCTCCTGTTTATTCTATCATATACTTCCATTACATCCACTCTGACTGTCCCACTCTTTGACCTTGCACAGAAGTCTCCGCTCCTCCAATTTTCCTCCCTCATAGTCTAGAGCTTCTGTCTTTCTTTTCTGAAATGGAAGGATCAAAACAATGACGGGTGGTGTGCCAGCAATTGCTATAGCAGCATAACTTTGTTATCGTCTCGTATCCTGTTCCTGAAACAGAAGTGGGACTCCGACATTCTGATTCCTGTTGTGCATAGTTTTGCCTCACTAATACCCATTTCCTGGTGTAGTTACGCTCAGTTTAGAATAAAACAATCTGGGGAATAAACCGCGCAGGTAGAGACTAAGGTAAAAATTTTAGTACCTTTACAGAAGTTGAAAGAGGTGGCAGACCCAAATCCGTAGCAGTGACCGTCAAGGAGTAATGCAGGGGAACAGTCTGTTTGCGTAAGTCTCTTGTTAACCTGAGTTCTCCTGTGCTACTGGAAAGACTGAAGAGGCCTTCTGAGTTTCCTGAGAAGGGACAAAGACAAGTGTTGGAGATGTTCAACAGAGCCAGCAGAGACAAGCAACTAAATTATATGCCCAGGATTTAAGAGACACGGGTTGAAATCCTAATCTGTATATGTGATTTGGAGCAAGACACCTGGCCTCTCTTGATTCTGCATCCACATCACAAAGTCATTTGGGCTGGGAGGGCCCTTGTGAGGCCACTAGTCCAAGCTCTTGGCTCAAAGCAGGGGTCATGAATTAATTCAGAGCGGGTTGCTCAGGACTTTGATCTGTCATGTGCTGAAAACCTGCAAGGACAGCCTCTCTGGGCAACCTGTTCCACTTAGTTATCCTCACAGAGGACTTTCATTCCTCTTATATCCAGTCAGAACCTGCCATTTCAATTCATGACCATTATCTCTCATGCTCCTGTCACGCAGCTTAGTTTAGCAGTATGCAAGTACCCCAGTAATAAATGCCCGAACGATTTTTTTCTAACATACCTGAAATATTGTAGAAAATGCCTTCATCATAACCCTTGCCTTCATCTGTTGCATTGATATCTACTACCAGTGTGCCAGCTGTAGAATTGTCTAGAAGGATCTGGTAATATGAGGGCATGTCAAATATGGGTCCTTCTTCATTAGCATCTTCCACGGTAACTAAGAAAAGAAGGTCCATGTCTGAGTGTAAACATGAGTTTCACCTAAACGGTTACAAGCTATTTCTTCAGCTAATATAAACCAGCACAGCTCCTCTGAATTGACTTGGAGCTCTTTCAATTTAAACCACATGGCAACCTTGTTTTCTGTACTTCAAAATGCTTGCCTTTGTGGATTAAATTATTTATAGCTCAAGCAATAGTTTCCAACAATGGCTGCACTTCTGGCTAGCATGCTGTCACTACTATCTGTCATGAATATATCATCTTACTACTTCGTTGGGCTCCCTTCTGTGTCCATATTCATCTGGTATCTCTCGTCTTTGGCTTAGATTGCGAGCATTGTGAGACAGGATTGCTTAGTTTTATATTTGTACGTGACCTGGCACAATAGGGTCATGGTCCACAATTAGTGAAGCTGGCCGTACAGTAACATAAATAACACAGAACAAGAAGTAATAAACAAACCAATACTTCCAGTCATACTGATCAAAAGTAGGGCTGGCCAAAAACTAAGGATACCAACTTCACAGAAATCTTTTATGTTGTGTTGGGAAAAAAGATATCTTTTTTCTTTTTTTTTTTTTTAAGGAAAACCAACAGCAATCAAGTACTGTTATTTTAACAACACTAAAAATCATTGTCAACATTTTTTTACCAGCCTAGAAGCAGACTTTCTGTAAATAAGCAGAAAAATAACTGAATTATGCTTTTGGAAACCTTTTCAATCAAAATGTCAATAGGCACTCAAAAAATGCCATAGACAAATTTCTGAATACACTGAAGTAAGGAATGTCAGTTTCTGTGAAAAATCTTCATTTTTGACAAGCCAAACATTTTTTGAGAAAAATTTCATCTGGCTATAGTGAAAAGGTAACATCATAATTTCTGATAATTTACTTTAGCAGACTGTATTACTGCTGAAGGCTATCTTTATGCCTCATAATTACACATGCTGAAAGATTTCCTAAGGGAGATGAAGGTAAATTTTCTGTGGTAAACTAGAGCTACCTGTAATGTTTGCAGTGTCCTGAAGATAGGGGTCTCCAGGATTGAAAGCTTTCAGAATAAATGTATACTGGGAACGACTCTCATAGTCCAGAGGTTGAAGAGTTGTAATATTTCCAGAAAGTTCTCCAACATGAAATGAAGAAGTATCTCCAATTATGGCATAATGAATAATGGCATTGTACCCTATATCTTCATCTGTGGCTGCTGCACTCAAAATCTAAATGAGAAACAAAAAAAAACAACACACCAACAAAAAACCTCAAACCCACCAGGTTTAGAGCAGAACAAAGAGAGTGGCAAAACATACAGATGAGACTGGTTTTTAACTATATAGTGTTTACTGACTGAATTACTCATATGGCCATTAATTACGTGGCTAAAACAGGCATAGTGTATAGCAGGGCTGGTAACAGATGTTACAGATCCTTAGGTGGTACCTCTTCCCTCGATTCCTGTAAACCATTAGTTCACATCTGCAAGGCAGACATGGAGCCAGAAAGGGATATACTGGGAGAAGACAGAAAAAACCCTTAAGAACAGGGGGATGCTGGATCTATGCACAACACCTACAGCCTCTTTAAAACATGCTGCCAGTAGGTCCTGTGAAAACTAGATCCGTGCAGTGTGGCACCGCTGCTGGGGACAGGAGGGAAAGGGAGAGCGACACAAAAGAGCTTTAGGAAGAGTCAGTGGGATAGGCACTCCGCTGTCATATAACACGAAAATGCTGTGTGATTTTACAGACTCCACAAAGTAAAAAAGTATGTTCACCAGTGCACAGTCATCATAGATTACTACCAATTCCAAGTTTACATAAAGAAAACAACGGCAGAACAGCCTATTTATTCTTAATGCCACATACCACATGTGGAGGCTCATTCTCTTTTACGGTCACGGAGTATGATTTCTGGGGGAACACTGGTGGGTTGTCATTCGCATCTTCTACGGTGATGCTCAGAACTAAGCTTGCAGATTGCGACGGTTTGCCAGAATCAGTGGCCTGTGAGGAAACAACTTGTCATGAAATACAGCACTACATTGATACAAACTTATTTTACCAGTTCAATTTTGTTCCAAAAATTGTGAAAATTTGTCTCAGAAGACTTTCCGCTGGACCAGTTATCACCCCAGTGACATTGCTCTAACCCTGTGCTTGATTAGGTGTTGCATGTCTTCCTGCAGCTGGTATCCTCACCATATCACATGCTCTGCCTCGTGTCATAAGCAATTAATCAAAAGCTCGAGCCTGGATCCAGATCAAATGTGTCATGTGATCAGATGTGGCACTAATCAACATAAAACCATGGTATACAGATGCGTATCTGTGATGTGGTATTTAAAAGAATAAGGAAATCCCTTCCATTTTGAGGCTTTGAAGTGTCTATAAAGCAAGCAGTGAAGAGTAGCTAATATGTGGCAAATTCACAGCCAGTTTGACATTGCACAAACATCCGCCACAGAAAAGTTCTAATCTATAGGTACATATGCACAATTGTCAGCTAGTCTTAAAAAGTGTCCACTTTTATTAATTCTAAAATTTTAAGAAGACACTGTTCAATTTTTAGTGTGTTTCCTTGCTGTCCTGAATACGTTCCACAAGTTCCTTGACCTGTTGAATTATTTGTTAGCAGTAAAGATCATCTTAAAATACATTTGTACATGATGGCCAATGCTGGAACATTTCTTTGTATGCACAGTAATTTAGCTGATTAATAGCAGTAAAAAAAATCAATGACATCAGCTAGAATAAATAGATACCCATAGGAATGTTGGATGAAACTTTATGCTTTCACTTTTTTTTTTTTTTTTTTTTTTAACTTAGAAATCTATATTTCAGGTATTTTAAAAAGGTCTAAGTACATATATATAAAAAAATAAGGGAAAGGGACAGACAATACAGATTGGCAAAGCAGTAAAAGCAATACAGCAGTATGGCAGCTGCATGGTCTAAAATGGACTCAGGAATGCTTTGCAGATTTCACTGTAAGCTATCATGTGACTATGACCTTTAAGATCTGATGTTCATGGGTCATTTATTCACTAATACCAATTTACACAGCAGAAAGTAAAGCTCTGGGTGCAAAACATAACAAACAGTCGAAATTCATTAATGAATTCTAATGGAGTTCACTAAGGTTAAGTGTTTTTCTTGTGATGATTCAGTATTTTCTCTTTTTTGTATTGAGAATTTTGTGAGCTTGCATCAAATTTGTTAACTTACTATTATTTTCAATTCATAACTCTCCATCATCTCTCTGTCTAAGGATTTTTTTGCCATCAGCTTGCCAGTAGAACTGTTAATATGGAACACTCCAGCAAAATCGTCTTGCAGAGAGTAGCTTATAAGTGCATTAACTCCTATATCCAGATCAGTAGCAGAAAATACGCCCAAGTCTAGACTAGCTGCATTCTCAGAAGCTGATAGGTTAGTTTGAATCAATGTTGAGAAAACTGGAGGATTGTCGTTGATGTCGTTTACTCTCACAGTTACCTGTATTTAAAAAAAAAGAAAAAAAAAAGAGATATATTTGAGCTGTAGAAACAGTATCCAAAGGAGAATTTTGATTCATCTTAGTCTATGGAAGCCTATGGGGGGGGAGCAAAACAAAAAAACACCAACACAAAAATCAAAGGGATACATAACAACTTCAACATTTTTCAGCATTTGAACATTTTTGCAACTTCAGCATCTCAGTATTTTTATTTTTTTTTTATTCTCAACTGTTACAACTGAGATAATGTATACTCTAACTAGAAGAGATGAGCAGGATTAATAGTCTGGGGCTCTTTGGCTCATTTACTTCGTGCATTTGACAGAACTATGCACAGAATCAGTTTCAGCGTTAATCAGTTTCTCTGCTTATGGGTTGTTCATAGAGGAACTCTCAGGAAGTGATGCAATTTGTGAAGTTGATGGTATTTCAAGATGGTAATATCTCCTTGGAAAAAAAAGGGAAATTGAATAAAAGGCTCTCAAAATCCTCATGCTTGCATAAAAAATGACACTTATCTGGATATTGCTTGATATTTTTAATATATTTTTTAAAATATTTTATATTCTTTTTTAAAAAAATATTTTAAAATGTAGTATACTGTACCAAAGCAACAGCTGTATTGGGTGGCACCACAGAATCAACAGCTTCTACGATGATGCTGTATAGGTCATTTTCTTCTCGATCTAGCCTGGCAAGAGCCACAATGTCTCCTTGGTCACTAATAGAGAACTTGTCACCATGCGACTTCAGAGAGTACACTACTTGTACGGCTATGCTTCCAGTCAGAGCCTTCACAGAGCCAATAGCAGTCCCACCTGGTTCAGCTTCTTGAATGCTGAACTCATAGCTGGAGCTATCAAAAGTCAGTCCGAAGCTCACGTCGTTTACCAGCAAGTAGAGAGTAACAGAGACTAATGAGAGAAAACAAATTAAAATAGTGAAGTTGCTACCAAAATAATCACGATCTGTGCTCCATTTCCCTGCATTTTCAGGAACTAATAGAAAATGACAGAAACAGGCATGTAGGAAAGAGGAACGAGAAGAAAACAAATAAAAGCAATAGTAATAAGGATTAACATGTAACACATAAAACACAATGCCTTTTATACCTCACTGCTGTTCCAGAATAACCCCACTTCACTGATCACAGCAGTGTTGCTTCAATATGACAGGAGAGCAAAGATCACCAATTTGAATTTAATGGGATATGCAGGTGTTTTCCACTCCTTAAAAATCGTACGCTAAATTGCTTTGTACCAAAAGAGAAAGCATATACATAAAACCATATGAGTGCAAATTCTGTCATGGCCGCTCATCCTATTTTAAGAAAATCAGTTGTTTCTCCTGTTTATGATAAATCAAAGCTGACCCCTAAAAATAAATGAAAAAGTTACAGAAAATACCATGTGACTGAGTATTTTTTGAAAGAGCAGAAACTTGTTTGAGGGAGGGAGGGAGGGAGGTGAAAAGACATCATTTACCATTTGATATAAGCTGAGGAACTCCATGATCAGCAGCAATAACTATCAGTGGAACAACTGTGTCAGCTTTGATATGTTCCAAGTTATTGCTGAGGGTGATTTCTCCGGTGTGGTTATTTATACGGAAATCATCCAAATGGTTCATGAGGCTGTATTAAAGAGAAATCAGTATAACATTCGTATTAATGACACTGGAAGTACCATCTACTTACTATTACTTCTGTAACAAGCACTCAACAGACAGTATTTGCCTGTTTATAAAGAACAGCTAAGTAACAGGTTTTAATTGTTGCATCATTAGCCTCCATATATATCGGCCTTTTTATTTCCAAGTTTGTCTTCTATCATGAAAAAAGACAGCATTCATGCCTTCAGTTCCCATTATATCCCAAGCCTCTGATCTTCCCACAAATAGAAGGCATACTGCACACTGAGCTGCATATTCAGCAATATAAGAAATCCAGGCAACATTTGTCTGAAGACCGCAGACCTGCTAATTCCTAGTGTTCTGCAAACTCTCATAGATAACTGGATTGCTCACAAGAAAAAATAATGTGTTTAAGGTAGAATGCCATCTCATAGTTAAAGATATTCTCTTTCAAGACATGAGTTTTAAACACCCACAGTTTACCAACACATTCATCTGTCCTTCTCAACCTATACTTTTCACTTCAAGGTATCCTGGTATTTGCCATGATATAAGGCTCATCCAAAAATCTTTCTCAATTAATTTTTTTATGCATAGTGCATTAGGAAAGTTAGTATTTCTTCATCTCCTCCTCCAAGCAAACAGAAGATATGTGAAAAGACAGTCATTCTTGGAGATTCATTTACTTCCTACTCAGAAACTCCAACATATGATACAAAATTTCAGGAATTCAAACAAATCTTGGCTTTCGGTTCTTGTTGCTAAGTTTATCATTTGATTGCATTCTCTCTTTTATGGCGTAAACATGATTTGATAAGCTCTAAAACACAGAGTAATGACTGTCCTTTTTCCTAAGTTTAAAAATCATTATTGATTATAGCACTTGTAAAATATCTACGACCAGGTCTTATCTTCTTATGACCAATAAAAATACTTTGTGAGAAATAAAATACCCTTCTGTTTCTTTAACAAAAGCTACTTATTAAGCTCACAGAAATTTACCTGTATGAAATAACAGAATTGTTCCCAATGTCAAGGTCAATAGCAGACACGGATAGTACAGACAGTCCTTCTTTTGCTGTTGCTACACGTACATTGGCCGAGTATTGTGCTTTCGTAAACTGAGGAGGGTTATCGTTCACATCTAATACTTGAATGCTGACATATGTGAAATTCTGGCGTGCAAAAGGAGAAAACCATGATTCAGAAAATGCACAGACACTTATTTATGAATAAAAGGAAGTTGCAAATAAGGAATAACGTGTTCCTCTCTATTACCTGCCTTTGAGGTACTCCGTTATCAGATGCCACCAACAGCAGCTCATACTTCTCTTTAGTTTCTCGGTCTACATAGCCATTAACCGAAATGGTTCCATCCTAGAGAAGGTAATAGTTCATGCATGAGTCATTTTGATAACTCTTGTACACTGAATTCTCAAAGGAGATGAGGGATTGAAATCCTCTGTGCTCCTTTGGCCAAATATAGTTCAGATTCCAAGCAACGTCTGACCAGTATATCTTAGTTTTCAGACACTGATGTGTATTTCCAAACTACAGAGCACATGCTGGTTTTGATTTCATGTCTACTAGAATGCTTACTGCCTACTCTTTTCACCTGATGTCAAGTAACTTCATGAAAAGCAGTACCTAAATATTGTTTTTAGCAAATCCAAACCCTTACCTGTTGGATGCTATATGGATTATCCCCATCCTCAGCTGATAAGTAATAAGTAATTCGTGCATTCTCTCCCTCATCCAAATCAGTAGCAGTCACATGTCCAACTCTAGCAGGAGCACCTAACATGTAATCTGCTTCCAGAACTGCAAAACTGTATGGCTGCATCTGAAACTCAGGGTTATGATCATTGACATCCAGAACAGTGATGTGGAACAAGGCACTTGAATTAAGCCCATTCGTTTCATCATCGACTGCCCATACCTGCCAAAGAAAGAAACAAAAATGGAACTTCAGTTGACTGTATTGCCATTTTAACCATCTGATGAAAATACAAAAAAGGGTTTGAGGGAATGAAGTAGAAATGAGCCAAAGCTGCAGAGTCTGTCCCCAAATTTACTTGTAAAGTGAATCCAGATGTAGTCTCCCTGTCCAGTTCTGTGTCATTCCTTAATGAAAGTATTCCAGGCATATCCACAGTAAACAAAGTACTGTTATGAATAAAGTGTCCCTGAGAAAAGCCAGCCTAAAAAGAAAACAATTCATTTAAGATTAAAATGATATTCAAGTTTAAAAAATAATCTTATTAATACCTGACATTTCTATAGGACTTCTCATTACAGCAGTACAAGTGCTTTGCAAGGTTTAATAACCTTCTCTGATATAGCCAGTAAACTATTTTGTAGAAGGTCTTAACTTCCTTGGTTAAGGAAGTTTTATTGCTGGCTCCATAGAAAGCAAAATGAAGTTTTTGTGACCCAAAACATGCTTATTGCCAACCATGTCAGAAATCTCCCTTTGCCCATCTACTACTATGCTTTTTTGCAGATTAATAGAGAAAACCATGTCATTTTGATTTACCAGGATGAGATTAATTTGGTACCTACCTCGTCCTTGTCAGTAACACTGAATGTGTAGATGGGACTACCCTTTTGTAGGTTTTCGAACACAAATATTTCATAAGCTGCCTGATTAAATTCTGGTGGGTTATCGTTGACATCTAGTACATGCACAACAACAAGTGTTTTAGCACTGCGACTTGGCTGCCCTCCATCCGATGCCTCCACTTCTACTTCAAATCGCTTTATGGTTTCATAATCCAGCTGCTGGCTCAGGCTGAGCTGGCCTGTGGTCAAATCGACAAGAAACACCGGCGAGGAGGTTGGAGGTTGCTGGCTAACGATTCTGTACTTCACGAGAGCATTGGCCCCAGCATCCAAATCAGTAGCAGATACTGTCAGCAGTGCCCTTCCAAGCACTTCGTCTTCAGGGACACTCACTTCATATCTACTTGATGAGAAGACTGGAGGGTTGTCATTCACATCGTCAATGATGACTGTCAAATTGAGAGCTGTAGACAGCACGGGTTGGCCTTGGTCACTGGCAATCACTGTTAAGTTATAGAAGCCTTGTGTTTCTCTGTCCAATTTCTCTTCCAGCAAAATTAATCCTGAGGTGTCAATATCTATTTTTCCTTGTCCACCTTTCAGACTATAAACCACTAATCCATTAAAGCCCTCATCCACATCCGTAGCAGACACTCTGGTAATACTAGTTCCAGCTGGTACGTCCTCCAGAATGGTAATGGTAGTGCTGGTTATGCCAAACACAGGACTGTTATCATTGACATCTGTAACTTTGATAAACACTGCAGCATAGTCAGTAGCATTTCCATCCGACAAGGAAATATGTAGGATATAATTATTCTGGGATTCATAGTCCAGTTTGGTTTTTGTCGAGATGATTCCATTGACATCGATGTCAAATGTAGCAGATTCCGTCAGTACTCGAAACGTAACTGGTATATGGGGATTTAAAGACTTATACTCTACCTGTGTAAGATAGAGCATATTATCCATAAGTGAATTCAAACCAATAAACCACTGTCTAAAAAAAGGATAATGGCTTTAACTATGTCTGAACTTAGTTTACTAATTTTCTTCATTAAAAGAAGTAAAGAATCAAGCTACAATATACATAAAAATACAGCTGGAGAGGACTGCCTTTTATTGGAACATCACTAATACAGAAATGTGAATACGTATAAATACACAATAAAAATAACAGACTGCAGTTTAACCTTTGGTTCTGCCTTTCTTTGTACAAAAAAAAGTGAAAAATTAGTTAACTCAGGAAGCCAATAAATGAGAACACTAAACCACATTATCTTCTCACTGCTTTGGTATCAGACTTCGCATCCGTCTTCAGAAGTGCATCTAAGAAGGAGCTATCACAGTGCATTCTGGTGGCCCATTTGAGCATTTTTTGATCAAAATGAGGAGCAAGTTCTAGAGCCTTCTTTGAAAATGCCTTTATGACAATTCTCTGATGGGAAGTCTCCATTTCCTAGCTGTATCATGTCACAGGGTTTTAGATTTATCGCCAACAGATGAGTGAATATTGCCTATCCTAGCCTTTGAGCCACTACAGGCTTTGGAGAATATCCAAAGCCAACAAAAGGCTAAGCATGAAAGTTTACTTTCCCAAATAGTTCTGGGGTTTATTTTGTTTAAGTTTTTTGGTTTGGTGGGGTTTTTTTAGGTTTTGCTTGTTTGGTTGTTTTTTTTAATGTTAAATGGTAGTAGATGCCATCTAAAATTTGCAATGGAGGGAACAGGCTTCATGGGTGATAGGCTTCATCTGACGGATGTGATCAGTATGTAATGTATGTGAAGCCTGATATACAGAAAACACAACATCTAGTTATCCATAACTCAGGGGGTTATAGGTATTTAGAGCACGTATATTACAGGATTTTCTTATAGCTCTCATGTCCTATACAAGTGATAGAATAAAGTTGTTCTTACTCTTGCTACTTCAACAGGACTGACTAGCTCTTCTTCCACAGACACGTTATATGTTTTCTGAATAAACTGTGGTCTGGAATCTCCAACTGCAAAGATTTGTACTGGCACTGATGAACTTCTTGGAGTCGTCCCACCTGCAAGCAAAAGCAAACAGTCTCCCAGCAGATGCACAAAATACCTTCTGCCTAAAACAAAAATATATACTTTTTCACTGTGTTGTGGTTTAGCCTCAGCCAGCAACCAAGCACCATGCAGCCACTCGCTCACTCCCCCTACCCTGATGGGATGGGGGAGAGAATCGGAGGAGTAAGAGTGAGAAAAACTCCTGGGCTGAGATAAGAACAGTTTAATAATTGAAATAAAGTAAAATAGTAATGATAATAACAACAACAATACAATAATAATAATATACAAAGCAAGTGATGCCCAATGCAATTGCTCACCACCTGCCAACCGATACCCAGACAGTTCCTGAGCAGCGATCGCTTCCCCCCGGCCAACCCTCCCCAGTTTCTATACTGCCCATGACGCCATATGGTATAGAATAGCCCTTGGGGCAGTTTGGATCAACTGTCCTGGCTGCGCCCCCTCCCAGCTTCTTGTGCGCCTGGCAGAGCCTGGGAAGCTGAAAAGTCCTTGACTAGCACAAGCAGTGCTTAGCAACAACTAAAACATCAGGGTGTTATCAGCATTCTTCTACTAAATCCAAAACACAGCACTATGCCTGCTACTAGGAAAAAAATTAACTCTATCCCAGCTGAAACCAGGACACACCGTTTTTTTTTTTTTTTTTTTTTTAATCCTTACTGCTACTATTATGGTACTGCTAAGAGGTCCTAATGAAGATCAGAGTTTCAGGTATTGGGTGTTACACTTACAATATATGAACCTGAATACATACAAAAATATTAGCACAGACAGACAGAGTATGGACTGATGAATGTCTTTTGTAACCATATTCTCCCCCACTACCCATTTTATCCACACAGTCATAAATGTGAAGACACAGAGCTCACATTGACCAAATCAGGAGGCTGAAAAACACTTTGTATGCTCATGCTACCAGGAGTGGGATACCATTCCTAGGTTACATTTATCTCTGTCCTTATTCAGATCATGAATGTTCACCGAGTTCTCTGTTATTCTTTTAAAACAAAGAAACCCTCTATAAATATGGCTAAGGAAATGATGTTTGTGCTGGCCATCCTAAAAATGGCTTTGGCATCTCCATTTTAGTTTTTCAGTACCCACATGGATGTGCAAACAAAGACCAAGTTACTCATCACATTTTACTTTCATTTTACTCCCTTTGTTTTTTACAAAACAAAACCAAAACTCATCACTGGGAATAGCTGTGTTGACCTGTACTAAAATCTTGTCTTACCATCAATAGCTGTTATCCACAAGACAAAGTTCCTAAGCTGGTTGACTCCTAATGGGATTACTGTTTTTAAACTGATTTGTCCTGTGGATGTATCCAATTCAAAGTATCCATCTTCATTGCCACCAGCTAAGATAAAGCTTATCTCTCCATTTATACCATCATCCGGATCATCAGCAGCAACCTGGAGGGAAAAAAAAAAAAATTTTCTTCTAGTTTCTTGTGCTGTTATCAAGTAACACAGAATTGCTTATTCTTGTGTAGTTTGCAGAGAAAATCATTGAGGTAGCAGATAATTAGGAATTAGTTGTGGGTTTTTTTCCTCTCACTTACAGAAAATAATAGGTCTGGATAATTTTATATATATCAAAATCTGCTAAATATAAACACAGTAAAATTCGGTTATACCTTTGACTGACTATCTACCTCCTATATGATCCCTGGGTTAAACCCTAGTAAGAACGTTTGGTCTTTGAAGCACATACAATTATCATTCCAACAGTGAGAGTGAAATCCTGCCCCTGTGGAATTCAAGTGAATGACACCAAGTTTGTATCTCAGAAAGCTTGTTTCATAGTATCTCCAAAGTCACTGGAGGTAGATTGTTCAAGAGATTACATCAGGAGCCATTAAATCAGTACACCTGGGTATGAGTTTTGTGACTCCTTCTATATCTCAGCTCGTGAAGCGATTTTTATCTTGGTTTCCTGTTTTATTTGGTTAACTGGCTTTCTATCTTACAAAAAGTATATTGTATCTAAAAATTGCCAGCAATGCTTCAGCATTGAGCCACCTTTCAAAAATTTTTACAATTATTTAAATTTCTGGACTCTAACAACATTCAGTTTTCATTAAACACCTCACAACAACTAAATCCAAGAATCTTATTTTCTGTCTTAATGTTTGTGGAATTCAGGATGGTGCACAGCACCTAAAAATCAAGAATAAAAATCCTTTATTGTTTGTTCCCTGACCTGGGATACGAGTAGAGCATCCAGGAGACTGATTATAGAATATCAAGAGGTCTAAGATTTTAAATGAAAGGTGGATTGTTTCTGAACTCAGAGGAGTTCGGAAAAGATCCCCTATTCAATAGGACCACTACACAAGTTCAAGCAAGGACTCATGCGTACATTGAACTCATTAAAATGACATTTTTACTTAGTATTTCTAGTACCTGAAGAACGGACATTCCTGCAGTCATGTTGAGGAAAATATCTTGTTTATATGGCGTGCCTCTAAAGGTTGGGCTGTTGTCATTTTCATCTAGCAACAGTATGTTGATTGTAGAGGGTACCTCACTGAAAGGTGACAAATGATCTCTAGCGGTGACCTTTAAAAATGATGCAGTAAAATGATTGCTTTGTTCAAATGCGTGTTCTATGAGTAGTAAGAAGGATGAATGCCAATTACAAGCTGAGTAAATTGCATCATTAGTGGTATTTCCCTCCAGATAGTCTGGATTTGATTCTTCAAATAAAAGCTGCTGATCCACATCAGAGAGTCGGCTTCTTACCAGGACAGATCAGATATCAACCTGTTTGCCTCAGGTTGCTTTGGAAAGGAGTAGACTTATCTTTAATACCTGTAGGTGAATAGATGGTATTCTCTCCCTATCCAACAGCGTGGAGTTCCTCACAGTTAGGATCCCAGCTTGGCTTAGCTGGAAGGGACTGTCAGCTGGCGTGAGAGTGAATGTTCCCTGGAAGCCTCCCTGCAGACAGTAATGATATTTGTTATTAAATAGGACAATCACTGAGCTAGTCCCTTAAGATGTTTTCTTCTTATTTTCCAGGTGGAGAGCATTTACTTTTCTGGTTTAATTGAGGTTACAGTTCCAAAAAATTGAGGTTACAGTGTCCATTTTACACTGCTGCACTTTCATATTTGGGACCTTACACAAACCAGAGGAGTTTCAGAGACAGGCAAAATTTATTCTTTGGCTGCAGTACTCCATCCCTTAAAGAAATGAAATTAAGTCTGTTTTGCTTAAGCATATTTAGGTAGTCGGGGGCGGCGGGGGGAATCTATAGCAAATGCAAAGGCATTTTATAGTATATTTCAGAGGCGCAGTATTTGTAGCAACCATAACGACATTGTCATTTTACCTCATCTTTGTCAATAGCTGTTACTCGAAGAACTTCCATCCCATTTGGGAAATTTTCTAGAATTGAGACATTGTAACTTGATTGTGACAATACCGGAAGGTTGTCATTCTCATCTTCAATAGTAACCAGCACTACTGCATCAGCTGTTTTGAAAACATTGTCTTGCTGAGTTGCCTAGAAAACGGAGTTTGTAGCTGTAAATTCCATACCCTGATAAACAGTGAGCCATCCCAGCTTAACACAAGGACATGACATGACTGCATATATTCAATGAATAAAGTTTTCCTTTATTTTGCGTTTTAAATGGTGGGATGGAGCCTTGATACCAACTGCCCTTTAACATTACTATGAGAAATACTATTAACAGTGACATGGATTCACGTATTATTTTATAAAATTGAGACTCAGTAATTAACGCACTAAACTCTAAAACGATCGCTACCTGAATGCCCACAACAAGAGAAGAACATTCTTCTCTGTCAACTGCAGTCTTTACTTCCAGCACTCCAGTGTCTGCATTGATTGAAAAGGTATTGCTATAGGCCGGGGGTTTCACTGAAAAGCAACAAATTACAATGGGTTAATGAGAATGAACCAGAACAGTAAGTCTGATCTGTCCTTTTTAAGACAGTTATCTTCTCAGAGATAGCAAAAATGAACAGACATTCCAGAGAAAAGGCTTTTTTTCAAACACTCTGTCCTCAAAACAATTTTTAGGAAATTCACTCACACTTCAAGGGTCTCAAATTAAGCATCTCATGAGCTTTTAGCAATTCTGTCAGGAGGAGGAAAAGCTCCCGATGGAACTGATCTCTCTAGATGGTCCTGAATGGAAATTCTTTGATCCAATAGTAGCCTCTAAACTGACTTACACTTTGAATCAGGAATTGTTTATTGGGGAGGGAGGTTAAGAACATTTAAACATTTTAAAAATAGTTGGACCCTGCTATAATGACTGAAATTAAGCCGATTCAGCTCGCGGAGCAGCACTGTAGTGAACATGTATGCAGTTAAGACACCTGACTGTACACTGCACTTCCTTATCATTCTCTTCAGCAATACAGATATCAAATTACTGTGCGAATGTCTAGAAGAAAATAAAGGTTCTTACCTAGTTTGATGCTGTAAACTACTTTTTCATTTATACCAGTGTCTCCATCTTTAGCCAATATCTTCTCTGGGAGAACAGCCAGAGGACCCACCTAGAAAACATATATTAACTTGATTAACTTGAAAAAAAATACACGCAAACTTAAAATTGTTCCTTAAGTAAGTCATAATTTTGATTAAAGAAACAAGAAACATGTATTTAATCACTGGGATCCAGAAAAAATTCTCTCTCTGCCATACACACTTTATAGGAAAATGATGACCATAATACTTGATGGATAGATACACTGTGTTTGAGAAGCACCAAACTATGAAGCAGTAGTCACTGATGGAATTCATGTTAAGAACATTGAATATTTCAGTTCCGTTCCTCTCCTGGAGAACAATACTCAAGTCTACACTGCAGTCCTAATAAAACCAGTAATTTCTTTAAAAGATAAAAACATTTCAGAAGATCTAAAATGATTCCTTTCAGACAATTAAAGATGAACTTCTAACAAAAGGGACACCAAAGCTATAACACCAAAAGCATATGTGGTTTAAAATATGTTAACATGAAGATAATGATAAAGAAGAAAATTAACTATTTTTAGTGGATTACTCTGGTAATACTATACTGTGATTTTTTTTGTTTTGGTCAATACATATAGAAGCCTGAGTCAAACAAATAAATTCCACCCAGAAATTTCCACCCTATCTAGAAAAAAAATTATTACTAATTTAATATAAACCACAGTTTACCCAGATTCTTATTTTGCTTACCTGACTGTAATGAAGTATGAAGGAATTACATTATTTAAAACTGAAACCAGGCAGCTAACTCCAGGACTAATGGGCAGTCAACTGCCCTTCCAAATTTACAGTAAAAGCCCTGTTACAATACCTGTTTAGTTCTTTTTTTTTTTTTCTTTTTTCTTTTTTTTTCCTCCAAACACAAAAGAATCTGTTTCGGTAGCAGAAAGTTTCATGCATCATATAATACGTGGGCTGTTTACCTGGTACTTGGAGGTCTACAGTTGATAACCTTACAATTCACCAGTTAGCACCAAACAAAGCAGCCTTCCATCTTAAGCTGCTCAGTGATGAAGAATCCTTGAAAGAAAAGCACTGTGGACAGTGCTTTTTTCAGTGAAAAGCTTTTACCTGGTTTTCACGGATTTTTCCATTGTACACTGATTGACTGAAATAGGGGTTCAGTGTATCATAATCTTGTACATTAATCAGTAATGATGCAGTATCCCTGTTGTTTCCAAATTTTTCCTGCATCCCAAGAGAAGGAAGAAAGTAAGAAACATTGTAATGCAAGAGCCATTTCTCAGTGGAAAATACAGCAGAATATTATTATATGTGCTTTGTAGCATCTAAGCATTTTTAGCCTGAGAACTCTCACCCTGTCAGATTTTTCCATTTCTAGAAATCCAGTTCAAGGAATAATACTATTAAAAGGCAATTGTTCTTAGTTATTGATTTTATATCAGGCAGGTGTTACACAGTAGCACGTAGAATGTAGCAACAGTACATTTGCTGCAGCTGTACTATTTGCTAGATACCACAATAAATGTGGCAAAATTAATTCTTTCTAGTTCTAAAAGGAATTGAAGGTACGTATATATTCAAATCTCAAAAAAGACACACAAAAAGAGCGCAGGTTGTAAGATGCAGCAAAAATAGGATAGATCCGCCAGAATGAATAGGTGAATACATGTTAGAATAGTACAGAATAAGTATGTACAATATACATACTTAAATAAATACACACAGAAGGACACTTGGGCTGGTATTGGAGGGGAGACTTAAACAATGGCTCATATATTAAGAATGTGCTACTTCGTCTGCAGCATAAGCCAAGTTGCAGATACAACTTTTGGCTTGGGAACTCCCTAAGTTGTAAATTTGTAGAAACCAGGATGTTATAACAAAGGAAGCATCATCGTAGAACTATTGTGGTTCTCATTCTTCTTTTAATTTATATCATACCTTTGCTTGGACTGTTAAATTGAAAAGGTTGATCTTGTTGTAATCCAATGTTTTATTCACCATGATAGTTCCATCTCCTTCCCTTATATAAAAGTAATCAGAGTTTGGACCCTATTAAACGAAAAAATCATTTTATATGAATAACAATGAAATACATTTTCTTTTCTCTTACCACCTTTATTATTGGACTATTCTTCATAAATGACCAGGAATCTCTCAAACACCACCACTGGAAAGGAAAATCCTGATCCTCTTCAACACATTCTATTGCCTCTCCCATCAGTGCCGTTAGACTTTCTATCTGATTTATCTCAGCCTATGGTCAATAACTAAAGCAGATCAGATGAACGGCATCAGCTTCCCTTCACCAGCTACAAAAGGAGCAGAGACAGCAAGCTCAGATGTGAAGATCTCCACTGCAGATATCTAAAGTTAGTTGAAATGATCTTACTTCAGGTGGCTTACATATACACCTCTGCAGGATGGGAGATCACCAGCAAATCAAATACGAACTTTAAAAAGAGGGGAAACTGTTTCACTGCTGCTTCTAAAAAGGACCACTCAGCTGTAGCTGAAGAATGCCACAAAACATATCCACAAACATTAAGAAACAAGATTCAGGGCTCACTGCATGCTAGGCTGATCCTGTGGTATAAGTTCTAGTTTTAAATGGTCTTTCTGATACTAGCATTTTGCAGATTTGTAATAGTAACCGTACAGTGCAAGACAGCATACTCAGTTCAGGTGCCAGGCTGTATTTTGTATGAAATGTAGACTGATGTTCACAGTCTCTGACAAACAAAGGGCACTCACCCAAAGACTGTAAGTAACGAGGCTCCAGAAAGGTGAAAAATCTTTATCCAGAGCTTCCACTTTTTTAACTGTGAAATTTATTGCAGATACCTAGAGGAAATAAAGATCATCAAACACTCAGTCACAAGTCCCTTTTCGTATCCCTCCTAACTTCTGGCAGGAAAGCTGTACCACCTCCTTAGCATAGGCAAATTACTTCCAATTTCCATTTTAGGTCCGAGAGCTGAATGTTTCTTCTTCACCCTATGCTTCCAGCTGTACATGCAGCCCAGCCATTTCCACACCCACGCAAAGGTGTAGAAAAGTCCCATAAGAGTGCATGTAATGATCTAATGTGAGTGTGGTCACATTAGAACCTCATATGTTTTGGCCCCAGAAAATAATTTAAAAACGTCACAAGAACAAATATTAACATTTGCCATAACCCACCTCTGATACTGAAGCATTATAGTGACGTTCTTTAAAGTGTGGAGAATTGTCATTTACGTCTTCTAAGGCCAAGTCCCGTGCATTCTCTATCTCATTAGTCTTTGTAATGGAAGCAAAAGACACATTAGAAATGACAGCAGTGAGGCAGCAGCATACTGCTAACATTTAACTTCATCATTTAAGATGAGATCTTCAGAGATACACCCCTTCAGTTCTAAAAACTCTGATGAGAGAGCTAGGCTACCATTTCTGATAATGGAGTAGAAAGTTTGTGAAAATATTTTAAAATTAACTTTTAAAAATTTACCTGAGGTTTTCTGTGAACAAAAACACTTATTCCAACTGGCACATTTAAACAAATATATCTTCTACAAGGTACTCTTAACCCCCTGCACAGTATTTCAGAAAATAGTATTTCAGAAAATAGTAATTTGCACTAAACTTAGACAAAAAAAGCAGTTGATAAAACATGTCTTTTACTTACCGTTTCAAGCCTTTTGCAAACCACAGTATAAAAGAGATGGTCGCTCTAAAAATTAACAAACAAGCAAATAAATAATATTATCTATGAACTCCTAACATGATTGTCAAAGAACGTTTATGTCAAAATTATACAAAACAACTTCTGGTACTTGAATGCTCAGCTGTGCCATGCTGAGCTGACAGTGAATTGTTCATCTGATTCAGTTACAGGAGCATACTTCAGCTATTTTTATCATTCCAATATGTTGTACCAAAACACACTGCTTATATAGCAAAGTCATTACAGATTATTAATTGTGAAGTTTACTTGGCTGCCATTCACCTACTGCTGGTCTCTACCCACCCAGATCCCACCATCCATGTACCCAACTGTTCTCCCCGATAGAAAATTGACAGAGAATGGGAAAATATGTGTAAGAAGCATAAAAAGTGTTTTAAGCCATTTGGAAAATATCCAAATGAGAAATGTGAATGTAAAAGTTGTAAATACATTTTCATCAATAAGAAGTCTTGATTGTAACAGTGGTTTTTAAAACATGTGTGGTTCAATTCTGTCAAGTATGGTGCTACTCTGAAACAGTACTTGTATAAAAAATAGCCTCCACTTACTCTGTAGAACTAGACCAATTTCATATTCAGAGGCAACTTCAGCCAGGAAAAGCATTAATGTTGCCTTGTGGATTCCTGGTAGAGCTACAGAGCAAGAATGGGCTAGGAAGAAGGACCTATCCTTTTGTGCATTGACCAACAGAGGCCAATGCATCTATTCACGTGTGAAGTTAAGCACTTGTATAAATATTCATACGATTAAGAATTGCCTTCTACCAAATGATATCTGATCAATCTCACTTTGATGAAATAATTCATGTTACTGAGAGATGAGTTTTAAGAAAAGTGACACCTGTCATAACTGCGTATTTACAACTTTCATTACAAGTCACAATATGTGACTAGGAAAGAACCCGTCTGACTGTCAGATCCCAGATAAGTTTACAGTTACAGGAGACTGAAGACATTTAACAGATATTACGGAGAGGTAGATACTGAAGTCTATGCTGCTCTTTCCGATGAGTCACTTTTTTGGAATACCCACCTATATTGTGAGGGAATGAACAATTAAAATTTATGTCTTAGTGCCACTTTTTTTCACCTGTCAAGAAAACCTTTATACCTAGGTTTTACATGCAGGGAAAAGAATACCTCAATAGAATCAACATCCAGTGGCTTACGAGTCCTCACTGTTGCATTATTAGATCCAGAATTGTATACTAGCTCCACATATGCTAAGTGTTCGGGGAACACGTATTCTTTTAATTTCAAATCCACATTGGGTGGGATATTTGTAATCCATTCTATATCACCTGTAAGAGAAAGCATAATAAATTAGATTGCTTTATAGAAAAGAAATACATAGGTTCATTTCATGTGTATTGACAACTAGATTACTGGTTACCTTTTGGTTACATTCTTATTAATTATTAATTAATTAATTATTATATTATTTTGGTATT